TTTATCGTAATAGAAATATTGTAAATACGTATACATCGTGCTAGCTTAAATAGATTTGTGTTGTGGCGTGCTTTTGCATAAGTAGCTTTCGTATCTCGCTCATTTCGCTTTGTGTGCGTAGGGCCTTTAGTAAACGATTCGTTATTATCTGATAATGACTTCGTCCTCGGCCAACTAAAACATATTTTGAATAATGGTTCTAATTACATCGATTAAAATTGGCTGGCATATGTACTAAAAGGTCACATAACAGTATCTACCCAGCCCATAATAATATCAACACGCCCTTTAAAAATACTAAAAGGAATAGTACCTATTTTATACCTCTAACTTTAGTACTAGACACGTTAAAAGGGAACTAAAGAAAATATACAAATAAATCAAACAAAACTTACTTTTGAAATTAAAAATCAAATAAAAACGTCCCCACTACTATCAAATAACACACAAAAGTCATCATAAGATCTGTAACTTACTTATATTGAAAGAAATTACCTTCTGAACTTTCAAGTAGAGCTAAAATATATTCAGTTGCTTTTGTGGAAGATTCAAATTCGCATGCTTGAAAGTAAAAAGTCTGGAAAATGTATTTGTATGAAAAGAGACGTTGATTGAGTGGAGGATATCAGTAACAGTCAATATTCATTATTTTGTTGATGCCTGCACTTTTGTATATTACCAATAAAATTACATCTTTTGCATGCCGATTAATTGTTAGCAGTCAGTCATGGTCGTAAGTTGTGTAACAGATACTGTTTTGTTTATAAACTTTGATAATATATTCTCTATTATTATGTGTTTTAGTTTCAATCAATAGTAGCATCGATTGTGGGAACTTATAATCGTTGGGAAATAATAGTCAAACAGACATTTTTCTTCACTTATTATTTCTTTTGAGGTGTATTGAGTCTAGATTAGAATTGTAAACCTTTTTCAAATAGGTAGTTACTTAGTAGATTTTCGTTAGTTAATATAGCTACTTAAGTATTCTAGGCTTTTAAACCAAACTTTAAAATACAAACTCAAATCGAAAACTTCCAAATCATTGTCACACCAATGCAATGTAAGCAACATAAATTACATCTATCACGAATACATATCTACATGAAATACAGTTAAATATATTCTCAAGTCAATAAATTAAAAGCGATCTTATCATAACTGTATTAGATTAGATATTTGTTGGTCAGGGAGACAGATGCATATTAATAGTACGAACTGATATGCAATTATCTAATTAATCATTAATTACTCAACGGGTACATTGGACGTATCGAGTACATGTGCCATTCCTATTTACAGATGTGATCTATCTTCGTATGCACTCGTTCCACAATTCTACATCAGCATTTAAATATAAATTGATTTATGATTCGTTTGACAAGCAATTTAAGTGTTAATTATTCATTTACGAACCCATTCTGTAATGATAAGAATGGTATTTAGTTCCCGTCTAATAAATAAACATTGGTAATTAGGTATTGAATTCCGAATTACAAAAAGAGATGCAAATTGGAAAGGAAGTTTCGACTCAATCTTAATTCAAATCAATTTGTTAACTAGTGAAGCGTTCACTGAAAATACGTAAATATGTTTTCCGTACACAAATTGTTAAGAGCTAATGTTACAATTTTTTGTGTTAAAATGTATTAGACGCACGAAAGATCTCTCGATGCGTCATCGCACATCAGTCAATCAGCACTAGCCGTGAACGCCCACTAACGCCGACCTACCCGCTACATTTCATTCACCACTCCATACAAAAGCTACATTATCTCATACAAACATTACATAACTCGGAAAACGCAGGTGTTAAAAGCGTATTAGAGCCAACAAACAGGGCGCTAAGCTTCGGGATTCGGCAGACCATAGCTCGGTGAAAATGGCCGAAGATTAGCCGAGTGCGGGGCCCCAGATATTAATGTTACAGCCAAAATATCAAAGGTTGGAACATAATTATGTTATAATTGGACCTCTGATAACCCTACAATTTACATAAACGTATATCAAAATAAACGAAAATCTCCATAACGCTGAAAAACTTAAATGCCATACGAGTACGTTGTGAATAAACAAAAGTCACTAAATAAAATTAATGTAATTAATTGTCGTTTGAATTAATTAAAATATTTGTGTGTAATTTGCATACAATTTTGTTTGAAACAATGCACTAAACGAGCGATGTTTTCGTGACAAATGTCGTGGCTCGATACGTTGGCTTATTCTCATAATTGTTCCATAATACCGCACACTTACGTTTACCTACATACGTAATGTCGTACAGGCCTGCCAAGTTTTTCTCAGAAACTAATCAATAATGTGAAGAGGTATTGAAAAGCGCACAAGTGCTATAGCATTTACGCACGCTACTGCTTTGTTATTTTTTTATTTAGAATGAATTATAGAACGCCTTTGCTGCATTTAATTAGACAGAATTGTTTATTGTTTCAATTTGGATTCATAAATTCTTTTCTTGGTCGTTCTTCATTTGAATTTAAAAAGGATTCCGTTTGAAATCCGTCCTTTTTGGTTATTTATTTGTCTAAATTGTATGTTCCAAAAATAAATATGGTATAATGCATGTATGTTTCTGGATATGGCCCGAGTCTCTCGTATTACCTTGTTTATCCCCTGGTAATGTTACTAGCAAACTTTGACAATTTTGGTGACGTACGTATCCCGGTCCGGTTTCGTTAATTCTGCGTACGCTGGGGCCCGGTTGAATTTGCATTTTGCACGCGTGATAAGTGGGCCGGATTACATGGGATTCCCACCAACAGCCTCTGTTTGTACTGAAATAAAGGGCTGTTAAACTTTTTTCATGGTAATTTGGGTCACCTTCAGAAGAAACGATCGTTGTAAATTTGTTTAAGTAGGCTTAGGTCTGACCGTTCGTTTAAATTAGATGGAACATGCGTAAACCTAATTCGGATCATTTGTGCACTCACCCACTTTTTTACAAGATTCAAAAGTTTACCTTTAATGAAGAAACTTGTGGAATGAAACTGCAGAGAAAGTTTGGTACCGTACCTAAATAAGTGACGTCCAGTGCGGAAGTTAGTCGGAAGTGGAGGGTATTTTTCCATCGAGTGATTAATGAAAGCCACATAACAGTCCCGGCTGACTTCCAAAATTTCCACAGTAAATCTCGCCTTTCGTTTCGCTTCTTTTGGTCGGGAAAGACTTGGCACCGTATTTTATCTATGTAATGCAAGCGTTGCACTATAGCTAGGTAAATAGTTGTGTATATATTTAATGTATTGCGAGCAACATTTCATTTTTATAGCCCTCTTATTATTCGCGTCGTCCATAATCTGAAAAGGCACTGCATGTCTCTGAAAATGTATGCTGTGCCAAAATAGTTTTATTGAACTATAGCTCTTATAAGCTTGTGTTACTAAAGGAATTTCAGCACTATATAGTTGGTATTTATCCCTCAAACATGGAAATCTAAATTAAAAACCAGTAATAAAAACTTGAACTCCCTAACTAATGTCATAACAACAAACGAAAAGAGACTTCAAACCCAATCCATTTAAGTTCAATAATAGAATAAAAGAACTTCAAAGACAATTAAAACTACGACTGGAAATGGCACAGAACAAAAACGAAAAACTGTTCTGCATTTCAAGTGTTTCTATGCGAGGCTATCAATCAATGTCCTATTTAGAATTCAGAGTGGTTCTACGTTCAACTTTCACAATATCGCACTGCAACTTCCAGTTTATCTACTTCTTTGTCGTCAGTGAACCAAAGAAATATACTGAAACTTTAGTCAAATGAAGTCCAAGTAACGCTTTTGTTTTTATTATTAGGTGTTTGAATTTAGTGCTTCTTTTCAATTTGTTTTATTTATTTATTACCTACCTAATGAAAGTGTATCGACGCCTTATTAAAATAAAGTTTAAATTGATTTAATGGATAGTAAAATATTGTTCTAAGTTGTTCAGTTTTACCTAGTATCTAAATTAAACCTAAATAGTTAATTTATATCTTCACATGGTCAGAATAGGTAGGTACTAATTCATTAAAAAACTAAACGAACATGCATGCAAGAAGGTAACAAAATGATTATAAAGAAAAGAACCATAAGTAGTCTATCATAATATTTCCTAGAGCTATCTTTAGTACCAATACTTAAATAGAAATTAATAGGTAGGTATGTAGGTACTTAGGTACTTTTGAGATCTTAGGTAAATATTTTATTTAAAATTTATCAATTTCACCATTCAATAGATGCTCTGTTTCAGCTTTTAGATCTTTACGTTAAGTAATTTTAAATCTCTTACAAAGGAAACCTCTTTTATAAAATGATGCCTAATAATTTCACGCATGCGCCGACGGCGCAGTGCACTTGTCGTGTCCGTCGGCATTCTACCGTATTATTTCTAACATAAAAGCATAATTTATTTAAAATAAAATTATTCAAAATAAATAATTAATAAATGGTTTATTTACTTTCTTTAAGCAGAGTTATATTATTTTGAGAGTAATTTGTTATCATGAGTAAAATTTTAGGTCAGGTCTGATATGGAAGTAAAGCCTTCAAAAACCTATTCTTCTCTAAATATTTCATTCAATAGCATTATTATAAATTGTTTATAATGTTATTACAAGCATTTTTATAAGTTTATTGCAGTAGAATAGGTCAACATAGTGAATAATTTACCTACAATCAAGGAATAGGTATTTTGTGTAATTTTGCATCAAAATTTTTCTTTTTCTAAGCAATAAATGTTTATACCTGTTAGAAATTGAATTTAATGTCTACTGCAAACAATTTCTTAGCCGTTATTTGTGTACAAACTTCTATTTGGCCCAAGAAAGAGAACTAGGTTTAAAAAGTTAGGTTATATAGCTTTCCCCGCATTAAAGTCTAATTGGAAACTAATATCAGAAAATTCTAGGTATATTTCTACAATATATGAGATCTAGTAGCTAAGTGTCCACTATTTTGAAATTAAAGAAAACAAAACAGCTAGTTATATTTAGAAACAAACCCTCGATTCAACTGAACTTAGCTTTGTGTACGTCGTGGCGTCCTTCTGACATAAATACTATGTTTTCACACCAAATAAACATTAAAACGCATTAACAGTAGGCAACAAAACAATAACACGCAATAATTCACTGATTATATGAAAAATAAACCAAGAAATAACATTTAAAACCAAGAAAAACACACAAAAACAGCGAGGAAAACACAAGGTACGTTTCGCATTACTTAAAGCAGAGGGCATTGCGATCGGCGGATTCAATATGGCGATGGTTTGTCGAGCGCTGATTGGTCGGCGCGCGCATTGCCGTGAAGTTGGCTCGGGTGAGCGAGCGAGTTAGATTTATGTGATGTTTTGGCGCCGATGAAAGACGGAGAATGTGTCGGAACGAGAGTACATTTGTATGCCGGCGGCGTGTCAGACCGGTTTTGTCAGGGCGTTTACGGAGTGTGCGTATGTGCCGGCTATGTGCCGAGGGCAGGTAGAGCCGCGCTACCTACTTATAATGATGAATTGTCCAGTTCGCCTACATGAATTAAAATATAAATTCTTAATATTCTTTTTTTGTTACAGGTAAGGTTTGCTTCGGTGGCAACGAGGAAAAATCAACTTCATGAGTATAAACAAAACATAAACACGTTGGGTAACTTATAAAATACTTAGGTAGGTATAACATAATAAAAAAAAATTTCTCCGTTTCTGAAAAAAGCTAATTTTTTTTTTTGATAATAGAAAACATAAACACAAAAATGATAGAAAAATATTTGAAATCTATTTTAATAAGCTAGGCTGAAAACTAGTCCATTACCTATATCAAAAACAGATTAAATTACGGTTCTGTATATTCTAGAACATTGTATGACGTAGATGCCCTTTAATAGACCTAAGTACTAAACAGAAGGCCTAAGTCCAAAGTAGCTTCTTGTATGAACAAAAACAAAGCAGTAAATCCCAGCTGAGTCATTTTTTAAACAAAATTTCACAGATGGAGCACGAGATTGGAATTGTGATGAATGATAATAAAGTGGTCCCCCATTACATCCAAGGGCCAACAAATTACAAGGGAGCTAGAGCACAACTTTGCACCTTAGGGGCTCTGCTCTTGGATACACAATATTTATTATGACGAACATTTTTATAGCAATTTTCCATCATGTGCTTACAACTACTTACTGAGCAATTGGTCTCAGTTTAGATGCTCAGGTCGGGTGCTTTATTAAAGAATTTTCAGTTTATACAGAATTTTTGACTAACAGAATAAAGTTTGGCATTATTGGACTTATAATAATTGTGGCGATCAAGATTTGTTACGTTAAATATGAAACTTTGTCTATTCCTTCGGGGATTAAAAATCATTATAGTTTTTCGACGACGAAAATAAACATCGTAGACTATAAGTACAAATCTTAACAATAAACCCCACTATAGCCACACCCAGCATATCCGAGCGGAAGCTAGAATATGTGAAGCAAAGAAAAAAGCAAATATGGCCCAGGCCCAATGGCCTAAGATAAATTTATTTCGTCGTGTAACTAGCAATAAATATGCTAATTCAACACTATAACGTCCGTATGTCGCCTACCAGCTCCGCCATTGAAAGAGTGAAAAAGATATCACAAAATTGCACTGCGCATTGCTCTTTTCAGTCATACAACCTTCGAGTGGCATCACGCAAAACTTTACTCTGTATCTTTCTCTCGTAGGTCGTATTTTTTTCTTTCCGATTTATTCAGATACGCCGTTCTGTTGTCGGTTTGTAGTTTTATCGACCTACGGCAACTACTAACCCAATAAATTTTGGTGTTTCGCTCAGTGAATCCGTTCGTTGAACGAATGCATCGTCCCAGATACGAATGTACGGGATTTGAGTGAGACGATTTATTGGCGCAGTTTATAAGTTAATGACCAAAATTCACAAGATGACCTTCAATTCGATTCGCGACATTCATTTTCGTCGTCGATTCGATATCCTTTAAATTACAAATTCGAATCTATCGACTTATTTACATACGTACCTAAGTATACTTTATCAAAGACGCTTTTAGCATTGCAAAATAGCCTGACTCAACCAGTCCACGAACCCACAGTGAATCTCTTAATTAAGAAATACAATTAATGTATAAATCAAGAGCACAACTTAATCTGCAAAATGAAAACAATCAAAACCAATATTTAATTGATGGGCAAACCTTAATTAACTTGTAGTTCGGCCCGGAGCCCCTCGGATAAAAGAAGCCATCTGCATTTCGGTATTCAAATTATTCTCCAAACGTGTTCTCCGTTCTAACCAAGCAGCCATTAATGGAATCGTTGCATCACGCTCACTCCTGCGCATCCAAAACTTGCGCGAACGGTTCAACCCTTTGGTTTGGGTTCACAGCTTTGAAACGACAATAACGTACTCATATGGACCCGAATAAAATGGAACAAAAAATCACATCACAAAAGTTTGCCTAAACTAACCTCGTTAAGAGATTTCTGGATAAAAGAATACCGTTTTTCAGTATCATCACGATTGTGCCGTGGATCGGATAGCTCGATCGAAGACGCGACTAATACTGACTGTAAAATATTTTTAATGCGAATGCAGTTCCTTTTTCTACTTGCAAAATAAACATTGCACAATTGCAAGGAGAAAGTTTGTTTTGTTGTATCGAGAGAACAAAAAGTTGCGTTTTTTGAGTTATTGTTCGAGAGAAAGTCGGCATTGTTGGGGTAAAAAAGCGTTTGTACCTGCTAAAGAACGGAGCTACGAACGGCTTAAAGTTTTTGTAGTATTCGAATAACTTTGTTGTAGAACGTGCGTGTTTTAAGTTAGTTCAAGAATGTGATTGGAAACTGTGGTGCGGAGACAAAATGGAGTCCTCAGAGCTTCATACCAGGTATCTATATCAAATATTTTGCCCAGAACCATTGTACTCCCAGATTAAACAACAGGTTACTTCGCACATACATGATGAAAATTTTTCCTCCGGAAAATTAATCGAGGGCGTCATGTTTGAAAATTTAATCTCACGGTCATGTTGTGCACAGTTTGTCAGTACAAATTAATGTTGCTTTTTTGTCACATTTTGTGTTAGGCAATTTACGTTACGCAATTATGTGGACAGGTTATGAATCTACAGGCTTATGTGTGACGCGTGAGGGTTCATTAAATCGTTAGAAGCAGGTACAAGGGTTACGTGACGCAATTTAAATTTTTAAATAATAATAAAAGTTTTTAATCATCTCAAAAATTAGTAGTTACTGCACTATCGTATGAGTATGACCGTGTTACGTTTTACCTAAATAGCGGCCTTAAGTAGATACTTGATAATCTAAATTAAAACCCTAGTATTGGAATTTGAGGTTACCTTTTGTCAAACAAAACAAAAAGATTCATCAACCGAACCCTTTAAGGAACGCTATCTCTCCCTACCAAAAGCAACGGTTGGAATTTAAATTCAAACTGAGTCGACGTAGCTATAGGTCGATAGAATGGGACAATGCGTCTCCAGTGGTCTCTAAGAACAACAGGGAACATGTTGAATGTGTACGCACATGCAGACACAAAGGAGGAGACGCTTAATTAAACTAGCGAAGCGGGGCAAGCGAAACGTAAGCATTTAATTTATATCCCTGCAGTAAACTCCGCGGCCTCTCCCTGATTGGGCCGAGCTGAAAAGCGAAGCGGGATCCCGTGTGTTCAGTTCACGCATGTACCAAAACTTTTAAAGATTTAGAGCATCAACATCACCATAGTAATGAATCTTATGTTATAAACTGTTTAACGAAGTATTTTTATATAGGTATTTATGCTTTCAAAAATCTCTTCGAATAGGGGTTTTCCAATTATTTGTTATACGATCATGATTGCATACTTCGTAAATTTGTTTCATGAATATGTATAGGTATAGGAATGGCAGAGATACTAAACAGCTTTTTAAAAATATGTCTTGTAAAAGTCGCTCAGCGCTTGTAACAAAATCCACGCCACATTCGCTGTACAGTCGTGGAAAAACTCGCCTTAGTTGAATACTGGATTAGAATAAACTATTTTAATTACGAGTTACGCTTGCCATTGACTCGCTAACACAATTATATGTGTACTTACTTAATTGATTGCATTAAAGGTACCGCGGTTGCTTTCTGCTTCATTTGTTCTGCTGAATTATATATTTACGTCGAAAGGTAGCGTTGGCGAGCCAAAAGATATCGAATTGTGTGAATTGAATTCATAAAATACAATTAAAAATACAGTTTAAATGAGTAATTTTACTTTTTCTTACAAAATGTAGTAATTAAAAGTTGATTGTATAAATAATTAAATACATAAAAAACATCGCGTGTATAAAATTCGTTAATAATATTTTCCATACCTAACGGTTAAATTAATTATTAGTTGAAATTAACAGGGAGTAAGTGACCTCGACCACACAGCATCTCAAACTAACGTTCGAAATATTGTTTGTTATTCCCCGTGGTATGAACCGGCGACCACTACAAGTACTGCAAGTTTACCATCTTGATTTCCCAGCAGCCGAATTTGAAAGCGAATAAACGTTGAGACGGCAAACATTAATATTATTGCTTTGGACGCAGACGTTAAGGATCAATGTAAATAGACAGACGTTATTTGGAATATGAGAACAGTACCCTCAATTGTATATTGCAACCCAAGCCACACATAACTAGCGCTTATAATTTAATAATTTTCCGACCTTTTCATCCAAAAAATTAATTAATGTATTTTTTATCATTTTGATATCATTTATCTGCAAGATACTCTATTTACTGAACCGACAATCAACACCTCGGGAACTTCAATAACCAGGCTATTAAATTTACTTATTTGGTTGGCTTTACCACCGGTGACCATCCTCTAAATTCCCGTAGATCTTTCCACCTATTCTACCCCTCCTTAATTAAGTCCATACTGGGTAGCGACAACAATGGCCGGCGACCGATGCGCGCCAAGATATTCAAATACGTCTAAGGCCACTATTATATTGCCAACATTTATCGAGATACTATTTCTGTTATATTATACTAGATAATAACAGAATAACTTTATTCTGGTGAATGATTAATTTTATTACGTTTCTCTTGCTGCTTTTTATTTTTCTCGTCGCCTTCAAATGAGGAAATGGTTTCTTCGTTCTGTT